GGGGGGGGGGGGGGGGGGGGGGGGGGTTGAAACCTCTGGGCCCACATGGGGCTCTTGGTCCTGTCTGCACCTCATGCACAGCTAGGACCCAGAGACCTCGCAGCCATGAGGCAGTCAGTACCCAGAGGTCTGTCAGCTACTGGGACTTGACTCTCGGTCTTGGCTGTGTGTGCCTCCCCCTTCCCCCACCCCTGGCTCAGCAAAGGGGGCTCCCAGCCATGGGGGCCTGCTTCTTGCTGATGCAGGGGGAGCCCAGAATTGGTCTCCCCATACACAGGAATTAACGTGTGAATGGAGCTAAAGTGCAGTCCCACCACAGTTGTGTCGTCTGAATATGTGGCACAGCAGGAGGCACAATTGTGTGGATCAGGAAGATCTAATTGTGCCTTTATGTGCCTTAGGTATCTAGGGAGTACAGGATTTGTGAAGTGCTGAGGTTATCTGGGGTACTCTGGAGAGATGGGAATTTAAACCAAAAGGGAGGTTTTTGTTTTTGATTTATTCAATTTTTTTAAAAATATAATTTGGTCTAGAAAGTCCAGTCTTAGGTATCCTCAGTGAAGATTTGTTCCTCCACTGAACACTTTTATGTCCATCAAACTTTGAGCTCTCAAAATATGTCATATTCTGAAGAAACTTGATCTTTTCAATGGTTGATCAGTGATGATTAATATTTGCCATGATTTATTTAATATCAAAAGTCTGAGAGGTGATTTAGAGATGCATATGAAAATGAAACCCTGTTCCAAAAACTTCTGCGCTGAATCCATGTCATGTCAATGGATGAAGAATGGAGTCACATTGATGCAAATATCCACATCTCTAAAAGTTTCTAGCCCCTTTTGTTGCAAAAGCGAATCAGCCACTGAAACTGAAGGCCTGCCCAGCTCAGGGTAATGCAGTCTATTTTATAGATTTCATAGACGTTTGGGCTGGAAGAGACCCCAGAGGATCATCAAGTCCAGCCCTCTGCCCCAGAGGCAGGAAGTCAGCAGGGATCATAGGATCCCAGCAAGATAAGCATCCAAATGTGTTTTGAAGGCGTTCAAAGTGGGTGCTTGAACCGCCTCCAGTGGGAGCCTATTCCAAACCTTGGGGGGCTCAGACAGTGAAGAAGTTCTTCCTTATGTCCAGCCTGAACCGGTCACAGTGGAGTTTGTGACCATTGGATCTTGTCATCCCTTGGGGGGCTCTGGTGAACAGTTGTTCCCCCAGATCCTGATGAGCACCCCTGATAAGCTTATAGGTGGTCACCAGATCACCCCTGAGCCTGCGCTTTTCCAGGCTGAATAGCCCCATTGCTCTCAGCCTCTCATCATA